CGGCAGCATGGATAGGTATTGCATTAGTGACTGCAAATCTATGAAAATCATGTTATGAATCAGTAATGAATGCAATTTGTTCAGCATTATTTTGAAGTCTTTTATCCCATCTTAGATTGTTCAGGACCTTTGAAAAAGGCAAAAAAATAGCTTACTATGGGCAGTTCCATTGCATTACATTTTATATCACAGTGTTTTTTTTCCCTATTTTCAGATTATGCTCTGAGGCACGAAAATGGGACTGAAAGGACTTTGCTTGAAATGAAAAGAGTTTCTATTTTTACTGTAAAAAACAGTTAGATATGTCTAAACAACTGCAGAATTTGCCAGGTGCTGGTACTTTTCATCAAAAGCCAGCACAGGATCGAGGCGGTATTGGAATGAGAATGGTGCCAACACAAGTGTTAAGAAAAAACATAGGGAAACAGTTGGCACCAGAATCATGTAATTCTGGAAAAGGTAATTTTAGATGTGTGTTTAGTAGGAATTAGGGAAAAATCTTCTCTATATTTTACCACAAAAGCTTACTGGTTTTTAAAATTGCATACTATTTATATGATATCTGTACAGAACTTAGAAAGTCAAGAAAAAAAATACACCTGAACATACTTAGTTCAGTGAAGTCAAATAAGCTGTTTATCACTTTTTTGGCAAACTAGAACAATGAATTTGCACATTAGTAATAATTGCCATATATAAACAATGGCCAGAAGCGATATTTAGTTTTATCATACTTTAGTGAAGTACTACCATGAAAACTGCTGAAATAGGGTAACTGATATATATATATTTACATTATCAGGTGTATTCATGTAAGTACTGTGCGAAGGCCATATAAGGTTGCATTATACGTTTTCATCGCAGATTATTATTACATGAAAATATTTTTCCATCAGTTCCTTGAATGGCAATGTGTCTGTAATCTATTCAAGACCCGAATGCTTGCATGACAATGATTTCCACTTATACTTAAATAGTATAGCAGCAACCCTAAATTTCTAGTTGATTTAAATGAAATTGAAAATTCACAAGAAAAACAGATCAGATGCTTTATTGTCATATTTTGTTTAGATTTATTTCTTGCTTTTTAATTTATCAAGGAGATGAAGATATGAAAGAATCTGGCCCTGAATATAATGATGAAACAAGCAAGGAAGATTTTCAGCTGACATCAGGAAATTCTGATCCATGTAAGTCTTTATACACATACTAGAAACACATACACAACTACCTGCAATAAGCCAAGGGTCAACATGTACCTCTGGCTCAAATTCAGGGTCAGTCATGCGACATTTGCTTGTGATTCTACTGAACAGCATTGATTTGAAATGGAGGGGCTTCAATGTGTACATTACCTGCTTAGTTATTTTATTACATCTATGATGTCTATATCAACTTTTATACCATGGTTTTTCATTGTGTCTGTAAGTCCCTTCATTCTTCTTCTCGTCCTTCCTCTCTCTCTTGTATGGGCTCTATCTCCTACACTACTTTGTACTTGAACTGCATATTTGGGTTGTGTCATGTATCAAAAATAGGCCACTATGACCTACATTTTGACCTTTGACATACATCAAAGAAAAGGTATGCTTGGGCCCTATCTTGAATGCTACATGCTTGGGCCCATCTATCATCTGTCCTTCCATCAACTTTTTCTACAAAGAACGACTTCTTGGATTTTGACCAAACAAAGTAAAAAACATCCTTTGAGAAAGAAAATCAAATTTTATAAAAATGGGGCCGAATAGGGAAATATAGCAAATTCTTTAAAACTCTTCTTCTGTAGGAATGCCAGGATTCTACCACCATTTGAACTTAAGCATTATGTTTGACTGTTTAGTCACAGGGCCGTCTTCTTGGATTGATGGAATGGGCCTAATGGGGAATTAGAGCAAATTTTGAAAGAATTCTGTCCCAGTTCGGCTGACACAGTCTTTGGGAATGGGAAATCTATTTTATTTAATGGTTTATTTAAACTCTGTGTGTCCTGATGGGCTGGGCTCAAAAGTGGGTGAAGGGTACTATATTTTTAGCCCACCATCATCAGATGGCCCTGTGTCCGTGGTCAGTCGTCTGTCCCTCCGTAAACAATTCTTGTTACCACTATTTCTGGAAAAGTACCGGGTGGATCTTGCTCAAATTTCATATGCAGTTTCCCCTTGGTCCCTAGTTGTGCATTGTACCTTTTTTTGGACTGATTTGAATTCAAGATGGCCGCCTGTCAGCAAACTTGGATTTTGGAAGTAAAAGTTTGTTACCGCTATTTCTGAGAAAGTACTTGATAGATCTTTCTCAAATTTCATATGCAGTTTCCCCTTGGTCCCTAATTGTGCATTGTACTTTTTTTGACTGTTATGAAATCAACATGGCCGCCTGTCAGCAAACCTGGATTTTTGAAGTAAAAGTTTGTTACCGCTATTTCTGAGAAAGTACTGGATGGATCTTTGTCAAATTTCATATGGAGCTTCCCCTTGGTCCCTAATTGTGCAGTGTTGGACTGATTCGAATTCAAGATGGCCCACAGATGGCCATCTTGGATTTTGAGAGTAAAATCTTGTTACTGCTATTTCTGAGGAAGTACTGGATGGATCCTTCTGATATTTCATAGGTATTGGTTTCCATTGGTCCCTAGTTGTGCATTGTACCTTTTTTGGACTGATTTGAAATCAAGGAGGCCCACAGGCAGCCAGTAATACAGTATTTTGTTATCGCTGTGACAGGATCCTTCTCAAATTTCATATTTATCTTCCTCTTGGTACCTAGTTAAGCATTGTCCCATATTTAAAATGATCTGAAAAAAACAAAATGGCCTATAGCTCTCCATCTTGGATTTGAACAGCGAGTAATTGTTTTATGGCTATTTCTTACCTACATGATCAGTCATTCTCAAGTTTCAGATTTTCTAAATTTAGTTAATATTGATAAATACACTGTTTAGGGTATGTATACTAAACCATGCATTGAATTGAGATAATGGCATATGGGTTGATACATGAGAAGTAACAGAAGAATTGATTTATTAAAAATGTCAACAATTCCTAATATTTAAGTGTCGGTGTTACAAAAACTTTAATGTAATAAAATAAACTTAATTTAAAATTAAAAAAACAGAAGAAAAAAAAATAGTTTTAAAAAACTTTGAACTGTTATGTGCATCATTTCATCATCATCATCACCATCATCATCCATTTTGAATTTAATAAGTATACAACTTAATAAATGGTGTTCATTTTATCACTATATCCCTGTAAAAATATCTTGTGCCATCATTGAGTACATTTACAACACCTGCAACAAAAAAAAAAAAAAATAAATAAATAAATAAACAAATCTTCAAGAACTGAAAACAGATCCTCAAATGGTGGGCGCCAAGATCCCACTGGGATCTCTTGTTGAAGCAATAAGGTCTGTCTGACCCCTCCTTTGGGTAAAGGGTTGGGGTCCATAGGGGAAATATTAAAGTGTCTTAATAAACCCTTTCTGTGGTTGGATGAATATCTGGTAAATGGTTGGTATAGACCTCAGGGGCATGAGAGGCATGGTCCAATAGAGTTGAAAAATGTAACCTTTTAAATCAATCATTTGTTGTAATGGAAGTATCTTGACTAAATTTTGTTTCAAATGCCCTTAGGTGAAGGGGACACAATTTTAGGAAAATCAAGGGTCTACTAAGGGATATACTCAGTATGGGAAAATAGCTCAGAGTTTAAAATCATTCATTTTCAAGGTAATGTGCCAAAAATCAGTATGAAGCTTTGAGAGTTTTCAGTTTTTGAGGAAAGAGTAACAATATAATAGTTAACAAGAATCATTTCAAGTAAAAGTTGAAATATTCAGGTGAGTGATACAGGCCCCTGGACCTATATATCTGCAAAATAATATATCATTGTTAAACATTGTCTGGCTTAAAAATTGTGGAAAAACATACCTCAAACCTCTATATGCAGGTATATTTGTGCTTTCCTTATACTAAGGTTTTCAGGGTAATGTCTGCTTATGAAGGCAATGTAAATACATATTCCCTATATCAGCCGCACAAAATCAAGTGACTTCTGAATTTATCTTTGTGATATCAGAATGAAAAATTAGGAGACAAATCAAAACCTTCTCATTCTGGTCAGTGTTAATGGATTAATAGAATTGTTCACCACCTTTAGGATGAGATAGGGGATCTCAACCCAAGGGGAAAGATTATTAAGTTGACAAACACAAGGTATGCCGATGCTTTCCCCGAGGGTTGAGATCCCCCTATCTCAGCCTGTAGGGGTAAATGATTATTTTTCTTACCCTGTTTTCCTTGTCCAAGTGCACCACAAAGTGTACTGTGTGTTAACAAAAACACATGGATGGTATGAACAGTGACCAGGCACATGCCTCAGACACTTAATGCTTAATAACTTAATCTTGCACAAAACCAGACTCCGGTGTATAAGCCAATAAAAGCAATGAAAAGTCAAATGAAGTTACTCTCTCGATATCCTGTATATTTTTAGATAATAAGTTGTGGATTAAGATGAGTTTCAGATAACGCAGAATTTTCAGTTTTGAGGATAACACAAGATTTCAGTAGCAGACGAACTAGTGTATGTGTGACTTCCTAAATTTAGTTTTCAGAATGTGCAAAGATCATGAGTAGCTTTCATAACCCTAGTGTGAGACAAGGATATTTCACATAATGAAAAAGCATGGATTTATCTGTCCAGAGTAAGAGAACAAGACAATTGTCCGATATTTTTTGTTTATTTGGATTTTAAAACTGGTGGATCTAAGCATGTTTGTATGAATATATATGTTGTCTAATTTTTTTGGCACAAAAGTGGATAATATATATTTTATTGTAGGTTCTGTACGTGGAAGAGACAGGCTTAATCAGGAGTACCACAGTCGTTATCAAGACAGACCATGTGAGAGTACAAGAGATCGAAACAGGCAAGGTGATGAACCAGGAACAACTAAAGGTTTTCCTGCCAAACACTCAATAAACAAAATCTCTTTATTTGTGAAATTTGCAGAGACAGTAACACAGGATATTGATATGTTCAGATATCTCATACAGAGGCTACCAAATGGGATGAATTTCACTTACTTAAAAACATCTATTGATAGACGTACCGGAAACACAGTCATTCATCTGGAGTGCCCATGTAGAAATGATGCTAAACATCTGGAGGAAGAATTAGAAAAAAGTAATGATGAGTGTGAAACGAAAGTCTGCTGTTTTTACTCGTTTGAAGAAGCTTGTGACCTGACAATGTCAACGAAAGAGAAAAACGTCATACTTCTAGAGAAATGCGTTGAAGATATTGTAAACAGGACAAAATCCTCTTTGGAAAACCACCAAGTAAAGATAGAGGAGTTAAAAGAAAAGTTAGAACAACTTCAGAAGTCAAAGGGGAAATATTTGTCGTTGGAAAATTTTGCAGTTGTTGATCAACAGCGGAACGCATTAGAAGATAAACTGAAAGAGCTTCAGCTTCAAAAATTGGAATTTCAAAATTTCATCGCTACAGTTCATCACAAATTAGTTGGACTTCAAGACTCTCCTTTATGTGAAAAACCAGCTGTTGAAATTATGAAAGCATTTGGTGTAGAATGCAACAGACTGGAAAAGGCCTTACCAATGTATGCAAGAAGGTCAGATATACTTGATGTTGTGATGAAAAACCAAGTATCGGTTATCATCGGAGAAACAGGATCAGGAAAAAGTACGCAGATGGCTCAGTACCTTTACCAAAGTGGATACGGCAACAAAGGGATGATTGCATGCACTCAACCGCGTAAAATAGCCGCCGTTAGTGTTGCTACACACGTTGCTAGCGAAATGGGCACAGAGGTAGGAGATGTTATTGGGTATAAGGTTGGAATGAAAGAGAAGAAGACAGCACTCACAAAAATCATGTTTATGACTGATCATGTTCTTTTGAGAGAATGTCTCAAGGATAGAAACCTTTCTTCATTTTCTTGTATCATCATAGATGAAGCTCACGAAAGAAGCATATTCACAGATCTGCTACTTGGTATGATCAAAAGCTGCCTAGAGGTACGTACCGATCTGCGGGTTGTGGTCACATCTGCTACCATTGATCCAGAGGTCTTCGTCCGGTACTTTGGCCACTGCCCAGTACTATCTGTGTCGGGAAGGATGTTTCCTGTAGATATCGTATGGCAAGTACTCGATAGCGGTAAAGAGTCTTTTGCAAACTACATAGAAGATTGTGTCTCGAAAGCAATTGATGTGCACCATAACCAACCTGAAGGGGATATCCTTGTGTTTGTTACCTCTCCACTAGAGACAGAAACTTGTTGTGAAAAGTTTATAGGTTACACAGAAGGCGAAAATCAAAATTATGTTTGCTTGCAACTGCACGGGAAACTTCAAGCCGAGGAACAGAGAAAAGTGTTTGATACTATTCTTGACAAGCGCAAAATTGTTTTTGCTACCAACAGTGCTGAGACATCAGTAACTATACCCGGTATCCGATATGTAATCGACACTGGCTTAGTCAAGGAAATGAGTTACGATCCGAAACGGAAAATGAATACATTGGCCGTAACAACAGTGACACAAAGTTCAGCCAATCAGAGAAAAGGTCGTGCAGGGCGACTTGGACCTGGAATATGTTACCGACTTTACACAGAAGACGATTATAGCAAAATGAAAACGAACATGGTTCCAGAAATACTAAGAGTCAATCTTGGACAGGCAATGTTAAAGCTTTTAGAGCTTGATATCAATCCACTGGAATTCGATTTTGTTATGGCACCGCCAAAAGAAATTATGGAAAGTACAGTGATTGAGTTGGAAGGTCTTGGAGCTGTATATGAGAGAAAAATTACTGATCTTGGAAAATGGATTGCAAAGTTGCCTTTCGATCCCAAATTTGGTGTCTTTATCCATGATGCATTAGCCCTAGGTGCTGGTCTTGAAGGTATAGTTATATCTGCAGCTTGTAGCGGAGGTCCTGTTTTCTTCCGAGCAGGAACTATTGAAGAAAAAGAGCAAGCTGATCGAAAAAAAATCCCATTTTGTCATCAAAACGGAGACTTGATGACAATGCTGAATGTATTTAGAGAATGGTTTCGTCAACCTAAACATACTAGAGGACCGTGGTGTTTTGATCAGTCAATAAATGGCAAGGCAATGAAAGGAATCAAAGACACGGTCAAAGATGTACTGATGACACTTCAGAAAGAAATGCAAACTGTGGTGCCATTTCGATTTGAAGACTCGGAGAAGATCGATACCATGCTTATCAAGCCTATCCTGAAAATATTCAGTGGAAATATTAGCCACTATCTTGGTCATCCAAAGGCAGGTTATGTGATGATTAACAAAGATCAGCGGGTAGAAGTACATCCATCATCATCTTTGATGTCGCTGGCCTGTCAGCCAGAGTGGCTTGTCTTTGACCAAGTCATGAAAACGTCAAGGGACTTTGCGATGAATATTACGCCAGTCAGTGAGGAAATGCTGATCAGTTGTATTGAGAAAGGATCACTGAATGTGGACATAGAAGAAGCCAGAGGTAAACGTATTTTGCCATTATGTACATCATACGTGGGTTCGAAAATTTTCAGAGAAGTTGTTGGACCTCGATATACAGCTCTCCGGACGTTTGAAGGAGAATTGGTTAAACAATGCAAGGGATCTGTCGTCGTGGTTGAAGCTGACCGTGAGAACGGCGAGCTTAAGTTATTTTCAAACTTATCAAATCACAAAACAAAGAAAGGTTCCCTGGACAATATGCTGAAACCTATCAAAGGTAACCTACTTGCTGAGGAAAAGGAAGAAAAACTCGGTGTGAAATCAGATGACCGGTCTGTAAGGGCAGTATTAGGAGCAGGAGGCGTTGTCAAAACTTTGTATATGCCTGATGAATACAAGGTGGTGCTGATTCACTGCGTTGTCAACAAGACACAAGAATTGGAATATGATGATATATTTCAACGCTTCAGCGAATTTGGAAAGATCGAGAAGTGTATAAAGTATAACTTTAAGAAGAGTGCACCGTCGCTTTGGGGTAAGGTGATATATCAGAAACCAGAGGATGCTCTACAAGCAGTTACGATGACCAAAGGAAATCCTGATCTTTCCGCTCAACCAGATATGCGGATTATCAGTGAGCAATCAGAGAAATTCAAAATCCGGATACAATGGTGTCGTAGACAATCACGAGGATTTGGTTTCGTCACATTTAATAGTGTTATAGATGCCGACAATGCCGTTCGGACTGGCGTAGTTTTGGTAGGCGGTTCTTTAGCAAACATCAAACCTTCAAAATCGAAAGGAGCCCGCCAAGCCACAGAAGGACAGATCTACGTATCCGGACTTAATGAAATGGTGAATGAGGATGTGCTGAGGGAAAGTTTTACCAAACATTTTAATTTAAATTCCGTCACTGGCATAACAAAAGTGCAGGTTATAAGGCAGAAAGTCGGCCTTGAAAATCAAGAAAATATGGATATAATGAAACGACGACTTCATGTAGAAATAGAAAACTACGTCAAACAAGGTACATACAAACTGGAACTGAGACCAAACCAACGAGAGACAGAGATCAACTTCACTGCGTTTGTTACATTTGATAAGCCTGAAGACGGCCTTGTAGTGTGTGACAAAATGGATCACAAATTCAGTTTAAACAATCAAACTGTATATGCTAAGCCGGTTCTCCACTGTTCATTATACATCCCGAAGAAAATTTACGAAAAAAGCGGCGAAGTTGTAGACGAATGTATTAGAGAGCAGGAAAAGATTGGAGTTCGAATGAAAAAAAAACAACTCCAAAATGAAAATGTTGTTGTTGAAATAAATACGGATGACGTTGAAATACTTGTTCGAGCAAGACGAGCTTTCCAAGATATTATCAAAGGGGAAGTAATCGAAAGTGTTGATTCAGTCGCAATGAAGTCTTTATTCATGGGGGAAGGCAGAGCCAAGATACAGCAGATCATGAATCAAACAGAAACACTCATCCTCACGGACAATAGGGTGATGTCAGTCTCAATCCACGGACCCCAACAAAACAGACAAAGGGCAAAGCAGAAAATAGATGAATATCTTGTGGAAGTATCCGCCGGCAGTTCCGAGGTCCTAGACTTGAAAGGCGAAGGAAAACCTCCTGGTGTTTTGAAGGCAATTTTCTTGACATATTCATTTGATTTCTCTAAACTATGTCAAGAAACGGGACTTGTCTCTGTTAGATTGGATCAAAGACGTCATCGCTTGATGCTGTTCGGGTCAGACGGTGCAGTACGAGCGGCTAAGGAACGCATTACAGACGTTATGCAGAGCCTTTCTCCGGCTGGTTTGAAAACAGAGGAAAATGTGCCGGAATGCACCACATGCTTTTGTCCTGTTGAGCGAAAGGATTTGTACCGTGTTGAATGCTGTGGTCACCCTTACTGCAAGGGATGTATCAAGGTACAAGTACAAACGTCCATCACTAGCAGGGAATTCCCATTAAAGTGTGAAATGGAAAACTGCAATACTCCATTCACATGGCAAGACCTTATAAATCTGTCTAGGTTGGGTTACATCAAAATTTCTGAATTAACTGATTCGTCAGTCGGTAGATTTGTCCAGGAAAACAAGATGCAGTATCATTATTGCGTAACGCCTGACTGTCCAGTTGTCTACAGAATAACGAGAAATGGAAAGTCATTTTCTTGTCCTGAATGCCACATCAAGGTATGTACAAGCTGCCATGTACAGTTCCATGATGGTATCACATGTGCCATTTTCAAAGCAGAGGGAAGCGAGGACCCCGCCATGGCAAGATGGTTCTCCGAAAACAACGCGAATCGAAAAAGATGTCCAAACTGTACCATGCCAATAGAAAAGAACGGTGGATGCAACCATCTGACCTGTTTGTCTTGTAAAAAACATATTTGTTGGTTGTGTTTGCAATATTTCGACGAGAGTGGCGCATGCTATGGACATCTTGATAAAGCACACGGTAGCTTTGTTTGAAGTAGATACTTTGAATTCTTTGATGTCACCATTACATGGCTGCAATAAAGAACATTGCCATCAAAAGAGGAAATAACAGTGTGTTAGCAAGAATTGACGGATTAGTTGATTGTAACGGTTAATGATACACACTTACGTTGGAAACGACGTAATTGGAAAGTCGGTGCAATTACGAGTTAAATTGTCTTTCTGGCAATTCTATATAATTCCTTATGATATCTTTATATTTCAGTTTGTTCAACACAACAAAGATCATAGTTGTGCACTATACACTTTAAGAATGACCCTATTGATATTTTATTCCTCGTCATAATACATATTTTGGCCTTTGAAAAATGTTACTGCTTTTTCTGAAGAACCGAACGTGATCCTTTTGAAATGTGTGGGTGACCTTCTCCCCATACCACATTGGACCTTCATGTAAACATAATAGAGTATTCATGATGTTTTCATTTTACATCTTGAAACTTTGGGTTTATTACCACTTTTTTCAAGATTGACCTTCAGGTTTATCTTACTTAATATGTTACTGCACGATAAATTTACTGTTTACATTAATATGTTTGTAAATATTATTTATAATCAAGAGAAGAGAACAGGAAAAAAGGTAAATATACATGATTATGTATCAGTATTGGGTCATTCAGTCTATGCCTACATGCACCAAGACTGTTTAAAGTCAGCTGCATATTTTATGCTATTCAAAACATGCCATTTTGTTTGGGTCAAAATGTGGTTGATTGGCCATTGATTGCAAATTTGGTCGTATCTTCCTGGAAAAAGTAGCTATTACTGAAAGCCCGTAGAATATGGAACCAACAATGATCATACGATGATTGGCGCTATGATCGCTGTCGGATATCTCGTTTAGTTTAGAGAACACATACACTCGAAGTATAAGATGGAGGAAGAACTTTTCAAAATTTATCCAATCAAGATTCAAGTTAGGATTTAATATTGTTTTGACAATTGTTTCATTCATTACTCATGCCCAAGGTTTTGTTACAAGGTTTGCCGTGGCTAGTTATTGTTCTCTTTGATGCCAACTATTTTTGGTGTTTTACGATAAATACCCAGATACGTGATACCATTATCTGTAATTGTTGAGGTCATCACTTGCTATTTAACTAGTGTTTAACATACAAATATTACAAGTGCGGGAATAGCCTTTCAAATGAATATGTACTAGTGCTTCCTTTCATCTGAATCTACCGGTGATTGACAAAATGCATATTTGATAACTTAATGTACATTTTGCAAGTTGGAGAGTTGTTGTAAAGACATTTCCTTTATATTTTTTCCAAGTTTAATTGTTGTTGTGAAGAGTAAATTTATACTCAGTTTTGTTAACCCTGTTACAGTTATCTCGTTTTATATATGTTTAAAAGTATTGTTATACTCTTACCACTTGTTGATTGAAAAAAATGAATCGTTCTTTATAGTTATTGGTTCGAAGAATGTGAAGAAATTAAATTATATTGTATAGAGACTTGCAGGAGTGTGTTCAACCCTTGATGTTCCTGTTATTCTTTTAGGATTTGATGATGGGTAAAACCTATCAAATTAACATATCTAATTAACAAAAAATAGAATGTGCTAATGATCTAGCCTCGGGAGGACTTATCATGTCTGAGAAATGACGTAACAATAAAAGAGTGATTTCAAGAGTATTCAGACTGTGTTTTGTTTAATGAAAGAATTGACAGCTAAAATTTAATGCCTGCATGTCGGTAAAGATTATAAGCTCATCAGTCCAAATTCAAGTGAGCTTATGTTCTGACGGATCGTATCCACATGGTTATTGCGAATTCAAAAAAAAAGAAAAACGTTTGAGGTAAATTTATTCATTGAACAAACTTGGTAGCCCTTCATCCCAGACTCTACAGGTCCCTGGGCCTTTACATTATTGAAAAGAAATATTGAAAAGTTTGAACACCATCGCCTTCAACAAACTTGGTAGCTCTACATACCAGCATACGACAGACCCAATAATCAGTACCCTGGTTATTTCAGTTATTGAGAAGTCATTGAGAAGATTTTCACTTTTTACACTTTAACTTTTTTCTCTGTTGGTCTAGCTAATGACATGACTAGTCTTTAGCTAAGGGTTGATAAATTGTTAACTTCTTTAATCAGTAAGTGGTTGTAGAAATGTAAAGAAGATATTGTACTATAAGCCTGAAAGTATTTATTACTGTAACAGAGGTCATTTTTCATCTCAATGCCTCCGCTAGGAATCGAACCCGGGACCCCTGGCTTACTAGTCTGTTTCATCTCAATGCCTCCGCTAGGAATCGAACCCGGGACCCCTGGCTTACTAGTCTGACGCTCAACCAATCGAGCTAAAGAGAAGTTCTCTCTAACCGAGTGGTATATTGCGGCTAGTATTTTACCAGGGTTTCATTACTATTAGACATTTTCAGAAGTGAAACAGATTTTTTTTCAGAAATGTTTAGAAGATTATAATGAAATATTGAATAAGATACCAATGTTGAATACAATACACTTAAATATTGAATATATACATTAGTATTCAATATGATATGTTTATTTTCTTTGTAATTGCATAAAATTGAAGAGGGTATGCTACACAATATTTACAAGGAAATATTTCCATTTATCTACATGGACGATCGGATTTCTCAGCAATTTGTTTTATGTACAGCAGAAACATAATACGACATCATGGAGGGAAACTAACGTTTTAAACAGAAAAAAAACTACCAAAATACCGATATGTCAACAGAATCTTAATGCTTACTCAAACTTGACTAAACGAGGTTGAAAAATAAACAAACAAAAATGAATAAATAAATAACAGAAAAAGAACAAAACAGCCGCCATGTAAATCTTGATCAATCCAAATAAGTAATATCACGGTCTCAAATGAGAATAAGTCAAATAACGAAACCATCAGATATGCCAACGCGCATCGAACTTATTTAATCTTACGTGCCAAAAAGGAAATACAATTTGCCTTTTGATATTAATGTAGCGTCCATAAAGTTCCCCAAAGGTCTTAAACCTTCGTGAGTTGTGATTATGTCTGTCTGTTTATCCGTTGGAGAGAAAGAAAGAGAGAGGCAAACACAAAACTTTCGTGCGAAGATTTATTTTCTATTTCATTGTCGTCTTGGTAACTTTTAAAGCCCACAGCAGTATACTAAACTTAAATTATTGAATGCCCAAAGCATGAAGCTTATTAATCAACTTTGTGTGTATCCTCCAGAACCGATAATTACTTACAATAGTCAGAATAATCTTAGTCTATAATACTCTGAAACATAAGTAGATGACGTTTGGCTTGATTAGTATACAACCCATTCTCACTGGAGTTTATTCAGTGCTCTTGCTGTTTTAGGTATGTATTTGTAAGAAAAAGTCATTACCTTAGAAATGGTCCGAAACGTTTGCTTGCATAGTGTGGAATAGCTTCCATAAATATTTTCAGAAGAACAGTTGTTTATTCAACTGCCTCAAACATTTCTTTATTCTTTCTTATTAAACACTACGCCCGCAGTTGCAACAAAATTAAAATCACATGGCAAAACATGTTGGTACCATCAGAAAGGCCTGGTCACATGTAACAAACATGTCAAATATGAAAGTTTTACCTCTTATGATGCAATAGTTATGGGCAAAACTAAAGTTGACAACAGACAAACAAACAGAAAAATAGACAGCACAAAAACAATATGCTCCCGATCAATGGATCCGGGTGCATAATAACAAGGGCCTTGATCATCTAAAAAAATCCAGGGTTTCTTACGCGACATTCATATTGTCTCGGCAAAATAGATATCTCAAATCAAGTCATATATAAAAGCGTGCGTGACGTGACGTCATTTACAAATAATTTGCGACATTTTCAGTTATTCAAAATTCATTCATGAGTGGGTCAAGGCACATTCCAAACGAAAATTTATTGTGTCACACAGTGGACGGAGGTGCTCCAACAGCACACGTGACAGGTGGTTTATCTACATTATTTTCGTAAAGAGTGTCATTGAATTATAAGCAGTGGTGCTCTGTAACAGTGTTGATTGAGTGAAGAGCAACTTGATAAGCACTCCCAGCCGAACCTGATAAACAGATAAGGTGTCGCTTATGTTTTCTAGATTCTCAACTTATTCATCACTCAAATCATTTTCGGCATCAAAACCAAAGACAACAATAAAATTAAAATTAGTTCTGTAATCGTAAGTCGAACACAAAGTTTATAGACAGGTGACGATTTGTTTTGGCGATGTGATATAAAATTCAGCCAAAAGTTCAAAAATTTCTTGAAAAATCCATTAATCCATTGTTTAAATTTTGCGTACATTTGTAAGCAAGTCGGAGGAGCTAGATATTTTTTATTGAGAAACGAAAGGGGAAACAATCACGAATCAGAAAATCAAAAAACTAATTATCACTTAATGGACAGCACAGCCTATGGACCATTTTGATAAAGAACTAGAGTCCAGCTCTTAAGTAAAACTCGCATACTTTCTTTATAAATATTGCCTACCATTGATCGATAAATAAATCATCTCCATCCTCCGTTATAGAAGATCTGAGTTTTTGTTCCCAGAAACGTGATTCTTTTCATGCAAAAACGTTTTGATCACATCGGTCGATCGTTTATTTGTTGGGGCTATTTTCCCGTGAACAGTCGATATCATTAAGAGGTGGGTTATCATGGTAGTAGCTGGTGACTACTTCAGTGACCACCACGTGGGATGCCAACAGCAGGCTATTCTGAACAATTTGGGTAAAGTGGCTATGTCCGCACAAGTTAGTCTGTGATTTCTACAATTTACTTCCTGAGAAACTCAAACCACGCCGAGAAAACATCTTCACCAACAAGGAAGTCCGATGCACACAACTCATATTTACACCAGACTGTCTGCTGACTGATATTTTGCACATTTGTCTTCCGTCTGATCTATCTCTTATTTGTCTACCGACTGATCTTTTGGGCAATTTGCCTGCCGACTGATCTTTTGAACATTTGTCTGCCGACTGATCTTTTGCACATTTGTCTGTCGTCTGATCTTTTGCACTTTTGTCAGCCGACTGATCTTTTGCACATTTGTCTGTCGACTGATCTTTTGAACATTTGTCTGTCGACTGATCTTTTGCACTTTTGTCAGCCGACTGATCTTTCGCACATTTGTCTGTCGACTGATCTTTTGCACATTTGTCTGCCGACTGATCTTTTGCACATTTGTCTGTCGACTGATCTTTTGAACATTTGTCTGTCGATTGATCTTTTGAACATTTGTCTGTCGACTGATCTTTTTCTCTTTTGTTTGCCGACTTATCTTCTGTATATTTGTCTACCGCACATAGACTAAGGGATGTGCTATGCTGTAATTACATTAAAAAGAAAGCTGGTCATATGAAAACATATATACTTGTCATTTTCACTCGCTTTGGACTTCTCGTTACCCATACCTTTTCAAATTCTTCTGAAGACATGACAAAAAGTCTATGAAGACTTAGAGAAGATGGAAACACGACAAACATATTTCTCAGGAAACTACTGAGGTTCTGTAACAGAATAACATACACAGTTACACAGAATCCTAATTCTTAAATTTTCCCCCAACTATTACACATAATACATTGATTGGATAAAGAAGAATTTAAAAAATCAAGCCACAAACGAAATAAATATATATCTTTTAATCAACATATATCGAGAAAAATCAGAACTGCGTCATATTAGGCATATACATTTAGCAAACGATTTCAAATAACTCATCAATGAAATTGTAAAGAGTTGGATTAAATATCCATTCACTATCCAACATGAAGAAAAACAAATTAATACAGAAAATAATCAGTAATAATTATGATATCAATCATAGAACCTTACGAGGTTTCTAGGTGAAAAACTTTCCCCAAACGCACAACTTTCAAATATATCAATTTTATTTATGTGCCGAGCATTTCTGCAAATAAATGATGAAGTGTCTTTTCATTAACAGCAAACAAAATAGAATTATAAGATGAAGATTTTAACTCCAGACCTGCTGTGCCAAGCAGCATATTTTACATCTACTGTCCGAAATCAGTGTAATTGACTTTTAAAGTCTGTCTTTGCAACAACAAATGTTACAGCTTAACGTCATTAACCCATAAAAAAACTATCAGAAGAACAACAACATTTTACAAGAGATCCTAGAAGGATCTTGGCGCCCACCATTGTTTGATCTATATTTGCCCTCTGGAAGATGGATTTTCCCTTCCTTTCTCTGTTTTCGCTCTTAATGATAAGACATTTGAACATTCATTTGCAGAAATCGCGATGATAATCATTACCTGCCAAATCCAAAATGGCCGCCTGGAAGTAATTATGTTTCTTCTGATGAGTCTCGAAATCAAATGAATTTGAGAGATATCCATTTAGTACTTCTTAAAAAATAGGGATAATAAATCCAAGATGGCCCTCAGTCGGTCATTTTGTTTTTCTGATCAGACTCAAAATCAAACCGGCACATCTAGGACCAAAAGGATCCTAGATATAAATTTTAAGAAAAAGTACTTTTCATGAAACAGCGATAACAAACTTCATTGAAAAAATCCAAGATGGCCGCCTTCAGCCATATTGTTTATTTGATCAGTCCATAAAATTAAATGGGCACAGCTAGGGATCAAGAGAAACCTACATATGCAATTTGAAAAAGATCCATACAGTACTTCTCAAGAAATAGCAATAACAAAAATTATTTACGGACGGACGGACCACAGACGCAGAGCGATGTTGATAATAAAACGTATTTATTTCTTATTTTTTCCCAATATCGCACGTAATCAACAAGGGTGATTTCGAAGTGAGGTCTCCTTGTAGTAGTTGGTGGCTATAGCACGTATATATATATACAGGAGGTCCGCCGCATGCTATATCAAAGCAATTTGGACAAAGAATGTTTAATACTGACAGTTAAACAAGAACAGTCTGTGTGTGTATCAGTAACAGATATTCAAATTTAATTCAAATGATATAAACATTTTTAGTGAGTACACATAAAAAAAACCTGAATGAGGGTATTAAAAGTCAATACATTATAGAAGTATATCACGGTGAACGATTAGATCGAACGCTTGAGGTTATCATCCTCACAACCTCACATCTTCAATCATCAGTCATCCGTGTCCAAGGATGATGGGGGTAATTCAAGGACGCATTACTTGTGCAAGTAAACTGGAATACCTCTGTCTAGACATGCCAGCGTGACGTCACACTCGCTAACATTGTCCTAACCTTGGGCTAACTAGTCCTGGGTGAAGTTCATTTAAAGCTTAACATAAGGTGACATAAACAAGCAGATATATAAATACCATACCGAATAGTCATAAAGCCGGTTATTATGGGGATTTTACGCGTGTAAATTCGCCAGCCAAAGTGCCCGATGATATATCTTTTGGCACGTTTTTCCAATAAAACGAACTTTTTTAAGCTCATACAAAACAAATATGACGCAGTGTAAAACTACTGATTCAAACACTACAGAAATGTGTATGTCAATTTTACATTCATCAGATATTCAACATAACATTTATTCCTTACAAATAAGCGAAACTGGTATTTCCATAAAAACAACCACCCAATAGTTCAACCTACAGCTGCTACATAATGTATAAAGCTACATACACTGTAACATTATAAAAATTATAATGTAACATATTCACATGTGTATACCTTTGCTTGAAATTACAGTAAACAACACTTGACTGATATGTTCGCATACTTTCTATGTTGAGCTAACTAACCACTTTATAAATATATATTAAACTGGGATACCAACATGGTATCGATTCATACACAACTTCATTTTTTTCAGAATAGATCTATCACAGTAGGGTGCCCAACATACATGTATCATATCTAATCACAACACATGTCATTTATCAAATACTTAAGCGAAATCAGTGGCCGCCGATAGCTTAATTCAACCTCTTGATAAATTCTACATTGAGATAACACGCATATTGATAAATATACTGTAGTTTGCTAAATTATAAACATAAGAACGGTACGAGACTGGGTTTACCGACTCTGTAAATCAATATAGATGAAGAATTTAACAAACCAGTATTTGATAGAAAAAACAACTTATTACCGATATCCGCTTATGAAAATTTCATTTCTAGGGATAGCGTTATTTATTTAAGATGTGCCAGAAATAGCAACAACTGTGAAAGAAACAATGACAACATCGCGTGTATTTTGGAATGAAAACAATGCACACATTACGGTATCTGCTATTTTGAACGCCAAACAATTCACACTGGGTACCGATATGTGAAACATAAACATGGCACCATTTTTCTTCTTCAAATAATGATCATGCTGTGGAAATAGTTAATAATACCAAAGCGTCAGCGACCATCTAGTGTGGACGCCAAAAGGTTATTGTGCGAAGAACTTGTAAACAAACCTTAATGTAAAGCTCGACATTAAGACTTATTCTGAATTATTCAATCAAACAATAATTAAATGCACAATAAAACCATTTCAAGTTTTAGCGCATTAGCAAGTTTTAGGAAATTGGCTCGATGATGAATTTGCGTATTTACAATAATTGTTATATAATGCAACACAGAGAATTTTGCGTGGTCATATTTCACCGTAATAATACTTTAGTGCACATAGCACCGGAATAAAATTAATGATAAAATATGTACGTCTACAGTACATGTACTTGTAGAATTTGTTATCCATTAAAGGGATGACATTTCACATTGAAAAGATGGTAGAGAATAACTAGCCGAAGTATTAGCCATGCTAGTACAGTGTATGACACATTATTGATAATACATTCTACTTTTTAAAAGTCTATAAATCTTCTTTAAACATAAACACATTTTACTTATTTTAGATAAGTTTTTAATAGAAGTTCAGACAGAGTTGACCTGATATGTGTCTTTCCTTTGCTGAATATTTTCAAGTGTCCTGTCAACGACTATCTGGTACACACGTTTATATCAGATTAACCATCTTCACATCTATTTAAATTATGGGTTCCTTGCACGTATATTTGTGCGAATTCGCCACCATTAGATTAATTCCTTACATGAAACTACCGTGTGCGTTAGCAAGATGTCCATAGCATGCGCCACTCCCGTCGAAATATTCCAGACACAACCAACAAATATGCTTTTTACAAGACAAACAGGTCATATGGTTGCATCCACCGTTCTTTTCTATTGGCATGGTACAGTTTGGACATCTTTTTCTGTTCTCTTTATTGCTTGCAATCCACCTTCTCACGCTTGGATCTTCGTTTTCTTCTAATTTGAACATGGCACATGTTATGCCATCATGGAACTGCACATGGCAGTTTGTGCAGATTTTGATGTCACATTCTGGGCAGATGAATGCCTTTCCAGTCTCTGTAACCCTGTAAACAACGGGACAGTCGGGTGTTAAACAAAAGCGGAAATCCTTCTTATTTCCTTGAATGAAGTTACTGACTGACGCATCAGTTAATTCAGAGATGTTAAGGAACCCCATTTTTGATAGGTTAATAATGTCATGCCAAGTAAAAAGAGTTGTGCAATCTTCCATTTCACACTTAATTGGAAATTCTCTGTTGGTAATGGAGGTTTGAATTTGAACCTTAACACATTCCTTGCAATAAGGATGACCACAGCATTCCACACGGTATAAATCCTGTTGCTTGACTGGACAAAAACAAGTGACACATTCTGGTTCATCAGGTTGTTTCAGACCATCAGGCGATAATTTTTCAATAATATCTGTAATTGTTTCCTTTGCCTTGTTCAGAGCATCATCCTCTCCGTGTAGTGTCAATCTATGGTTTCTCAAATCCACTCGCACAGCAACCACGCCGGTCTCTTTACACAATCCTGACATATCAATGTTATATTTCAAGAAAAGTTCCTTTAAAACTCCAGGTGGTCTCTCTTCCCCTTTTAAGTTTATCACTTCAGAATTGCCCGTTGAAAGTCGAACTAAAAAATCGTCAATTTTCTGCTTTGCTTTTTGTCGGTTTTGCTGGAGTCCGTGAATGGAGACAGACATTACCCTAACGTCTGCAAGGATAAGTGTTTCTGTTTGATTCATTATCTTCTTTAACTCGTTTTTTCCTTCCCAAGTGAACAATTGTTTCAGAGAATTTGACTCGGAGCATTCGATCACCTCTCCTCTAATAATGTCGTGGAAAGATCGTCTCGCCCTTACAAGTGTTTCCACGTCGTCTGTGTTGATGTCAACAACTAAGTTCTCGTTTCGAAGGGTTTTAATTTTCACCCGAACTCCGTCCTCTTCCAGGTCGATGACGCACTTTTCGACTGCGCCGGTACTCTTTTCGTAAATTCCTTTAGTGATGTACAAGGAGCAATTTAGAATTGGTTTTGCAGAGACAACCTGACCATTAATAATAAATGAATGATCCATTTCGCGACACACACCTTCACCATCTTCAGGACTGTCGAACGTAACAAATGCAGTAAAGTTGATGTCAGTTGCTCTAAGTGGCTTTAGCTCAAGCTTGTATGTGCAAGGAGGGACATACCTTTCAATTTCAACACACAGTCGCCTCTTAAGCGTGTCTAGCATGTCTTTACTTTCCAACTGTACCTTTTCCCTCACAACGGTCACTCGTGTGATATCTGTATCAGGATCAATATCACAGGAGTCTGCCAATCTTTCGCGCAAAACGTCTTCATTAACCATTTTGCTCAGCCGAGAGACGAACACTTTACTATCGTCTTGTTGGTCTTCTGTACCTTTGGGATGGCTTATCCTTGCTACTGAACTCCCAATCTGAATTTCATGTTGACGAATAGCTTTGTCGGCATCTAAAAAACTAGCAAATGTGACGAAACCGAATCCCCGAGAAACTCTACGACACCACTGCATTCGAACTTTGAGCTTCTCTGAGTTTTCACTTGACATTCGTATGTTTGGTCGTGCAGAAAGATCTGGGTTTCCTCGAGTCTCTTCAACAGCTTTTACAGCATCTCCAGTTCTTTGGTAGGTTACTTGACCCCACAATGACGGCGCTTTCTTCTTGTGGTGGTACATTTTGCATTCCTTGATTTTTCCAAATTTGTTAAAGTGTTGAAATACATCCTCATATTCCAATTCTTGTTTTTTATTAACGGCACAATGTATCATTACGACTTTGTATTCATCAGGCATAAATATAGTCTTCGTACATCCTCCCGCCTCTATCAGAGCTCTAACAGATCTGTCTACTGACTTCAATCCTAATTTCTCCTCTCTTTCCTCGGTCAGAAAATTACTCTTGATCGGATTAAGAACGCTTTCTAACGAACCTTCTAGGGCTTCTTTACTTGACGAGTTTGCGAATATTTTCAGCTCACCGTTATCACGGTCGGCTTCCACGACAACAAGGGATCCCTGGCACTTTTGTACTAGTTTGTCTTCAAACGCCCGGAGATATGTATATTTTGGTCCAACAACTTGCCGCAGCACTTCTGAACCAACAAATTCTCTGTGAACAGGTATAATTCGTTTTTTCCTGGCTTCTTCTAAATCAAGATCAAGTAACCCTTCTCTGATTCCTCTTTTCACTATATCCTCACTTATGGAGGTAATTGTCATTGCAAAGTCTCTTGACGTCCTCGTAACTTGATCGAAGACAACCCACTCTGGCTGACTTGCCAAAGATATCAAAACTGATGATGGATGAACTTGTACTCTCTGGTCTTTCATGGCGAGAACGTAACCTGCTTTAGGATGACCAAGATAGTGGCTGATGTTTTCCCTAAAAACCTTTAAGAGAGGTTTAATCATCAAAGGGTCTACATTTGCGGGATCGGCAAACTTGAAAGGCACATTTATCTTCATTTCTCTTGTAAGTGTCATGAGAATTTCTTTAACGGTTTCTCGTAATCCTTTGATTGCTTTTCCATTGATAGAGTTCTGGTAACACCATTTTCCTTTGACTTTCTCTGGCTGTTTGGTCCATTCCCTGAAGACATTCAAATTTGTTAACATATCGCCATCTACATGACAAAATGGAATCTTCTTCAGATCAGAAAGTTCCTTTTCCTCAACAGTACCTGCTCGAAAAAAAATGGATGGTCCACTGCAAGCTGCTGCTATTACCACTCCTTCAAGACCAGCTCCAATTTCTAATGAGTCGTGAATGAAAACGCTTAGTTTGGGATCGAGTGGAAGTTTCGAGATCCATTTTCCGATGTCGGTGATTTTCCTTTCGGAAACCGCACCAAGATCTTCTAAAGCTGCCATTGCACTCTCCATTGACTCTGCAGATGGTGACATGACAAAGTCAAATTCAAGTGGATCAATGTTTAGTTCCACGAGTTTCAGCATTGCCTGACGCAGATTAACTCGCAGTATCTCTGGAACCATGTTCGTTTCCATTTTGTCATAGTCATCCTCTCTGTAAAGTCGATAGCATATACCTGGTCCAGTTCGTCCTGCACGTCCTTTTCGTTGATTAGCTGAACTTTTCGTCACTGTTGTCAAGCTTAACGTGTTCATCTTGCGCTTTGCGTCATACTTCATTTCCTTAACCAGGCCAGTGTCGATAACGTACTTGATTCCGGGGATGGTAACCGACGTTTCTGCGCTGTTGGTAGCGAACACGATTTTACGTTTTCCTGCGGAAAGAGAGTCGAACACCTTCCTCTGTTCGTCAGCCTGAAGTTTTCCGTGCAGTTGCAAACAAACGAAATTCTGAGGTCTACCTTTTGTGTAATCAGTGTATTTTTCGCAGCATTTTTCAGACTCTAGTGGAGACGTAACAAATACGAGGATATCCCCTTCTGGTTGATTGTAGTGAACATCAATTGCTTTCCTGACACTTTCCTCTACGTGATTTGAAAACGATTCCTTACCGGTATCGGGTTCTTGCCAAATGACCTCTACTGGAAACATTCTTCCTGACACAGATAGTACTGGACATTGGTTGAAATACTGAACGAATACGTCTGGATCAATGGTAGCAGATGTGATCACTACATGGAGATCTGCACGTACGCTAAGGCAGCTTTTGATCATACCGAGTAAAAGATCGGTGTATATACTTCTTTCGTGAGCTTCGTCAATGATAATACAGGAAAACATTGAAAGCTTGTTGTCCTTCAAACATTCCTGCAACAGAATATGATCTGTCATAAATAACACCTTTGTGAGAGCCGTCTTTTTCTCTTGCATTCCTACCTTATATCCAATAACATGTCCGACATTTGAACTCATTTCACGAGCTACATGTGCAGCAACACTGACGGCGGCTATTTTACGCGGTTGAGTGCATGCAATCATCCCTGTGTTGCCGTATCCACTTTGGTAGAGGTACTGGGCCATCTGCGTACTTTTTCCTGATCCTGTTTCTCCGATGATGACCGATACTTGGTTTTTCTTTACGATATCAAGTATATCTGACCTTCTTGCATACATCGGTAAACCTTTCTCAAGTCTATTACATTCTATGCCAAACTCTTTCATATTTTCAAAAGCAAGTTTTCCACAAACAGGTGAGTTTTCCATTTCAACAAATTTTTGATGAGCCGAAGCAATAAAGTTTTGAAACTCTTTCTTTTGCAGCTCCATTTCTTCTTGCTTATCTTTCAATGCTCGTCGTTCGTGATCAACTGCGAAATAATCGTCTAATGAAAGGAATTTGTCTGTTGACTTCTTTAGTTTCTTCAGCTTGTCTACAACATCATCTATCTTTGCGGTGTGCTTTGTTAAAATCGAATCAGCTCTTTTGCACATTTCACTAACATATCTATTGAGCAACACATTGTTTTCATCGGTCGTTGTCATAGTTGTCTCACATGCGTCTTTCATAGAATAAAAACAACAAACTTTTGTGCTTGATTTATCGTTACTTCTGTTAAGCTCAGCTTCAAGGCGTTGAGCGGCGCGTTTACTTGGACACTGTATATTGACTATAGTGTTTCCAGTGCGATTGTCAACAGTTTGACCTGTATATGAAAATTCCATCTTGTGCTCCAGACGCTGTTTAATGTAACCAGACATGTTCATTTCTGGTTCCACGGTTTCTGCTAATTTTAAAAACAAAGTAGTAGCTTTAGGTTTGGATCCATTATTTGTTGCGGTTTTTGACTGAAAAAGCTCTTGTGCATCGTCGGATACTTTGAAATCTTTTTTATTTGCAGTCGCTTTTGTTAGTTGTGATGACGAGGACTTCTTCATGTTTGAATTTGTTTGTCTTCTTCTTTCCTGACCGTGTTGCAAAATGTTCGTAGGATCGTTGGATTTCATTGTGGCTTGACATTTCGTCCTTGATGTTGCGAAGCTTGATGTACGTGAGTGTTCATCTTGTCCAGCTGAAGAGCAAACATCTTTTTCATTTGGACAGTGCGTATCATCAGGTTTTGTTCTGTTCGCACATGTCTGTGTTCGTGTTCCAAGATCAAAGTGGGTTCCAAAGCAATCTGTAACAGAACAAAACTATGAATAATTTCTTTCTATTTCAACTGCTTGGTTTAACACCTTATTTAAGTTATGATAAGACCGACAAAAATCATGATCCCATATGTGAATTCCTCGAAAAATACATCTATTTTGCTTCACTTTTCGGTAAAACCGCGGAAATTGAAACATCGAAAATATATTTTACAGTATTAGAGTCATGGATTAATGGTTTTTACTTAAAGGCCATCTACATATTTGAAAACAAACCATTTCGTGATAAGGTGACTTATCAAACCTTTGACAAAATATAGAAAGAATCTTTCTGAAAAGTCCTACAAATGTCACAGGTACATCAATGAGTTAAAACAAAACAAGAAATGTGCACATAACTCGCAGTAGCAGTTTGAGTACTTATGAGGTTGTGGTCTCAATTTGAATTTATGTAACAAAAACTTACCTGAAGGATTCCTTTGTGAAGTAGCATTGACATTTGCCTCAGATGCGTCTTTAACTGAATAAAAGCAACAAATTTTTGTGCTTGACTTATCGTTACTTCTGTTAAGCTCAGCTTCAAGGCGTTGAGCGGCGCGTCTACTTGGACATTGTAGTTTGACTGTAGTGTTCCCAGTGCGATTGTCAACATTTTGAACTGTATATGAAAATTCCATCTTATGTTCCAGACGCTGCATCAGGTAATCGAACATCATTTCTGGTTCCACGGTTTCTGCTAATTTTACAAACAAAGTAGTAGCTTTAGGTTTGGATCCATTATTTGTTGCGGTTTTTGACTGAAAAAGCTCTTGTGCATCGTCGGATACTTTGAAATCTTTTTTATTTGCAGTCGCTTTTGTTAGTTGTGATGACGAGGACTTCTTCATGTTTGAATTTGTTTGTCTTCTTCTTTCCTGACCGTGTTGCAAAATGTTCGTAGGATCGTTGGATTTCATTGTGGCTTGACATTTCGTCCTTGATGTTGCGAAGCTTGATGTACGTGAGTGTTCATCTTGTCCAGCTGAAGAGGAAACATCTTTTTCATTTGGACAGTGCGTATCATCAGGTTTTGTTCTGTTCGCACATGTCTGTGTTCGTGTTCCAAGATCAAAGTGGGTTCCAAAGCAATCTGTAACAGAACAAAACTATGAATAATTTCTTTCTATTTCAACTGCTTGGTTTAACACCTTATTTAAGTTATGATAAGACCGACAAAAATCATGATCCCATATGTGAATTCCTCGAAAAATACATCTATTTTGCTTCACTTTTCGGTAAAACCGCGGAAATTGAAACATCGAAAATATATTTTACAGTATTAGAGTCATGGATTAATGGTTTTTACTGAAAAAGCCATCAACATATTTGAAAACTAACCATTTCGTGATAAGGTGACTTATCAAACCTTTGACAAAATATAGAAAGATTCTTTCTGAAAAGTCCTACAAATGTCTCCATCCACTGGGCACATTCTTCTATTCTCCTAACACTGGTCGGACTTCCCTGCTCAACCACCAACGGACGGAGTATTCCATCCACTCTTTGAACTTGTCCAACTCTGACTCCCATTCTACACGAGTCATATTTCCCAATTCTTCTACCTATAATCGGACCGTATCACTCTCTCATTAGTAGTCGGACTGTCCTACTATCCCACCACAATTCAGATTGTCTCACTCTTTCACCGTTAGTCGAACTGTCTAACTCCCCATCACTAGTTGGACTGTCACACTCTTCCACCAAAGTTGGATTGTCACATCATACCCTTTTTGATTAATATTTCCCTATTTTTTTTCTACCACTAGTCGCGATGTCTCACTTTCCCAGAACTAGTGTCACGGTCTCATTGACTAACCACTAGTCGAACAGTTTCACTCTCCTCCCTGATTGCTATCCGGTCTCATTCTTCCATTACTGAAGTAGCCATCTCACTCTCTAACCACGAGTTGAACTGTCTCATTCTCACTTAAATCGTCGGACTTTCGACATCCTCACCACTAGTCCGACCGTCCAACCAATAATCGGACTGCCCCTCCCTCCATCCAAACTCTAGTCGATCTTTCCCACTCCCCCACCACTAGTCGGACTGTCTCCTTCACCTATCAATATTTGGGTTGTCCAAATCTCCCACCACTTATCGGATTTTCCAACTTTTCACCACTAATGGGACTCTTCTACCCCATGTCGGACGGTTCCACTCTGCCATCACTAGTCAGACGGTCCGTTTTTTCTCTCCATTAGCCGACCTGTCTCACTCTCCCTGCACGGAAAGTTCTACTCTCCAACCACTAACCGGAATGTTCGACTTTCCCTTCACAAGTCTGACTGTCCAACTCTCCCATCACTGGTCAGACGGTTCAATACTCCAATCACTAGTCAAACTGTGTTCCTCTCCCATCAATAGTCGGACTGGCCCATCAATAGTCGAACTGGCCCATCAATAGTCGGACTGGCCCAACAATAGTCGGACTGGCCCATCAATAGTCGGACTGGCCCAACAATAGTCGGACTGGCCCATCAGTAGTCGGACTGGCCCATCAGTAGTCGGACTGGCCAAACAATAGTCGTACTGGCCCAACAATAGTCGGACTGGCCCATCAATAGTCGGACTGGCTCAACAATAGTCGGACTGGCCCATCAATAGTCGGGCTGGCCCAACAATAGTCGGACTGGCCCATCAATAGTCGGACTGGCCCAACAATAGTCGGACTGGCTCATCAGTAGTCGGACTGGCCCAACAATAGTCGGACTGGCCCATCAATAGTCGGACTGGCCCAACAATAGTCGGACTGGCCCATCAATAGTCGGACTGGCCCATCAGTAGTCGGACTGGCCCAACAATAGTCGGACTGGCCCATCAATAGTCGTACTGGCCCATCAATAGTCGGACTGGCCCAACAATAGTCGGACTGTCCCATCAGTAGTCGGACTGGCCCATCAGTAGTCGGACTGGCCCAACAATAGTCGGACTGGCCCATCAATAGTCGGACTGGTCCAACAATAGTCGGACTGGCTCATCAGTAGTCGGACTGGCCCAACAATAGTCGGACTGGCCCATCAGTAGTCGGACTGGCCCAGTCGGACTGGCCCATCAGTAGTCGGACTGGCCCAACAATAGTCGGACTGGCCCATCAATAGTCGTACTGGCCCATCAATAGTCAGACTGGCCCAACAATAGTCGGACTGTCCCATCAGTAGTCGGACTGGCCCATCAGTAGTCGGACTGGCCCATCAGTAGTCGGACTGGCCAAACAATAGTCGGACTGGCCCATCAATAGTCGGACTGGCCCAACAATAGTCGGACTGGCTCATCAGTAGTCGGACTGGCCCAACAATAGTCGGACTGGCCCATCAATAGTCGGACTGGCCCAACAATAGTCGGACTGGCCCATCAATAGTCGGACTGGCCCATCAGTAGTCGGACTGGCCCAACAATAGTCGGACTGGCCCATCAATAGTCGTACTGGCCCATCAATAGTCGGACTGGCCCAACAATAGTCGGACTGGCCCATCAGTAGTCGGACTGTCCCATCAGTAGTCGGACTGGCCCATCAGTAGTCGGACTGGCCCAACAGTAGTCGAACTGACCCATCAATAGTCGGACTGGCCCAACAATAGTCGGACTGGCCCATCAATAGTCGGACTGGCCCATCAATAGTCGGACTGGCCCAACAATATTTGGACTGTCCTTCCTTCGACCAATAGCTGGACTGTCTCACTCCCCCTTTATCCGTTGGACTCCCTCCTCCCACCACTTGTTGATCTGTACAACTCCCCTATCTCTAGTCGAACTATACCAATAATTGAACAGTCCTTCCTCCCACCAATAATTGGACTAACCCACTCTCCAAACACTAGAGATTTGTATAATCCCTTGATACAACCGTGTGTCATTGTCTGAAACGAATATTATATTTCTCTACAATCAAAACAAAGTAAAAAACTATTTTCTGCAATGTTTCAAAACAGTCTTTCAAAAAGAAAGTCTTGGTAGCATGATTACATTCTGTTCAAGATTTTACATTTTGTCTTACACTAACGCTTTATCTTCTATTGAATTTGATTTTCTGGGTAGAAATAAAAACATTTGAATTACCTATACCAACTGTAAAGTTGTTTAATTTTGCGGGATTCAATCTTCGCGGTTGTCCCAGTTTGAGCTAGTTCATGGCTATTTATTTTCGCGCATATCTATAGACACAACTCGAGGTTTTGAAATGCTTCATATCACTAGCCCTAACACAATGAGATGTTTCAGAATGATTTGAGTTCTTTCACTAACAACCCAAATTTCTTATTTTGGTTTTGATTAAAATGCCATGATAAAAGACCCATCCTGTTGTCATGTATCCATGTAGTTACAATTGTGCCCATTGTTAGATATTTATACAAACCTTGTTTACGGTTTGACGGGGAAATTCTGTTCCTTTCAGTCTGCACGTCGGCTTGGGACATTCGAAATGAAATGTAAGCCTTCATGTTTTCTATAGACGGTGGATTGGTCATTTTTGGCAAGTCTTCTCTTGTCACTTGGAATGTAGCGCCATCTTCTGGTAATCCTCTTCTTGCATGTTGCGTTCCGTTCATGGTATTTGAATTGTAATATATCTGTGTTGGTATTTTGTCTGTTGATGACGGAAACTCTTCAT